CTTTTTTTTTAACCTTTATTCCTAAACTGTTAGGGCAATAACCCCAAATTCAATTCATACCTTCCTTTTGTGGTATGGGACTTTGTGGTTTTATTTCTTTGAGATCTATACACTTATACTCAAGTTATTGTCTGGAAAGCATATGTCTACAGACCACAATGACGGCATATCCACACCATTATAAAATGGCAAAAGTTTTGCAGTCTATAAAAACTTAATGTTGACCACACTTCAAAAAAAGGCCAAGGTCAGATGTATCTCATCAGACAATCATATTCACATTACAATCATTATGTACACCATACATTGTTGACCTAGAGAATCTGACCGAGAACAGACCAAATCATGGAACCTAAATGATGACCAAATGGTGCAGGATAAGCCACTCAAATTAACAAATTTTTCGTAAACCTTTTTCTTATCCCAATCCATACAATGTGATACAAAATATATCTCCATGTGAGAAATAGATCACAGGCAATAACCATAAGAGAATTAATTGTCCTTATTACACATAAAAACTATCAAATTAATTTGAAAACAAATAATGTACACATACCCTTAAAAATGGAATCAAGATAATGTTCATATGCCAGATTAAACCAGACCATAAGGCAACTGCATACAAGATATGGATTAACTCATTCTTCTTCAGTCTGGATTATGAAGTTTTATATCAGGAGCATCCACTGCTAGATATGTATCCCTTTGTTTTGTATCTGATGAGCCTTTATATAAACTACTAGTAGATCATTTTAGAATTCTAGATCTATTTAAAGACTTGGCAGCCAATCAGGTAATCAGCAAGTCCAATGAACATTTCTGTCATGTAATTCCTAAGTATCATTTGTGTCAAGTCTTGTTTAAACTAGCAAAGAAGTTTCTGTGACATTTAAAATTCAAAACATGATGTTGAAAGATACCAAATAAACTCATCATAGATACCAGGATTGAAATTTTATAATTACGCCAGACGCGCGTTTCGTCTACAAAAGGCTCATCAGTGATGCTCGAATAAAAAAATGATAAAATGCCAAATAAAGTACGAAGATGAAGAGCATTGAGGACCAAACATTCCTAAAAGTTTTGCCAAATACAGCTAAGGTAATCTATTCCTGAGGTAGAAAAGCCTTAGTATTTCAAAAATTCAAAGTTTTGTTAACAGTAAATTTATAATTATGAACATATCAATGATAACTCAAGTCAACACAGAAGTGCTGACTACCAAGAGATGGAAATATAAAACTGTTGACACAGAGATATGTCTTGCGTTTTTTGGTGGTATAATGCATATGTTGAAATTAAATTGCAATATTTAAACTTATCTATGCAATGAACCATGACTGACGTTCAGGGCAAAATAAAAACACCATGGAAATGCATATGCTTATAAAACTGCATACCCAACACATTGACTTATCAAATGGTTCCTTGTTAAACTGTGAAAGTTTCAAAGTCCATGAACCATGATAAGGAAGTGGGACCAAATAATCTCTATGAAAATGAGACTTGCAAATGCCAATACAACTGCAAACCAAATATCAGATATTAGTCACTCATCTTAAACTGATCTAATCACAAATCACATGTAAATAATGCAAAACATTCAGTCAATAAACCATGACTGAGGCTGGAGCTGAACAATCTCTATGGAACTGAGATTTGTCAATGCTTATACATCTGTATACCAAATATCATTGACATACCACTTATAGTTCCCTTTCAATTGACCTAATCACAAACTTATACATGTAAACTAATTAAAAGTTTTAAGTCGACTATGACTGAGGGAGAGAAGCAAAATAATCTCCTTAGAAATAAGATGTTTCAATGCTTATATAACTGCATACCAAATATCATTGACCTACCACTAGTTGTTTTCTTTAACTTGAACTTATCACAATCAAATACATTGTTGAAGCTGCTGCTTATGGAAAAAGCATGCCCAAGTCTCGCTTTTTCAACTTCGTCCATACCATACAATAAATCAGCCCTTGACCACAGAAACCTCTTCCCCCTTTATTTATCATTCAGACTCAAATAAAATATAAGATAGGTTTTCTCAATTAAATTTTTATTTACCTATTTATTCATATCATTATCATGCATCATAATATAAAATACCCAAATGAAACCAGACCCATTCTGCTCCATCAAGTGTGTACAAATACCAAAGAAATTGTAATAATAATAAGTTTTTTAGTCCCTTTATAAGTAAAAGGAGGAAAAGGATCTGCATCATGGGTAAGGTGTCATTGGTTAAATATTACAATTATACAAAATTATACAAAATAACTGACAGCGCTGAGGATTATTTTTAGTTTCTTGATACCAGTTCCCAGACTAGCTGTTTAAATAGAATTTAGAAAATCAATTCTGTTCTGAGATACATGTCTTAAATTTTAATATCCTTAATTAGGTCTTAAAGGAATATTTTTTTTTGCTCAATATTAAACTTGGTGCTTTCCAATACTTTTAAATACCAAACTTAAAATAAATTTATATAATTCCATAAAATATATGAATCCTCAGTTTGTCACATACGAAGAGGCATTTACAAATATAACAAGGAATACAATGGTAAATACTAAGATAAAAAATGCATAAAAATACATGAATCAAATTCATTTATGAGGTGTACTCAATTTATTTACTAGGGTTATTTAAATAAACTAATATCGTGATCTGTGCAAAAATTATTAGATCACCAAGGAAATAGTTAACTGCATTTCATTAAACATTTATAACCCCAAGCTCTTATATTGTATATAAAGTTTCTTTATAATTCCTCCCAATTTCTATCCAAAGTCAATTCTTTTTATCAAAGTAGGATAGTTATTTAACAATACATGTATGATATTAATATTTTTTTTTATTATTTTCTTGAAACTAGAACTTTTTGCCCAGGAAGTAATAAGTAATTATTTCATATAAAATAAAAAGAGGAGATATGATTGCCAATGAGACAACTCTCTATCAGAGACCAAATGACATAGAATTTAACAACTATCAGTCACCTACAGCCTTCAACCATGAGCAAAACCCATACCCATAGTCCATATCCTTTAGGAAATGTGCCATAGTAAGCAAAGTATATCATCTGTTTGCTCATCCGTCTACAACTTCCAATCACAATTAAAGGATTGAATTGTTTTTGCCTAAACTGTATCTGTTGGCATTGTGTATATTTTTTTCACATCCAAAGGTTCCCCAATCGAAGAATGGACTTTTCCATTTATAAAATTTTATTACTCATATTGAAGGATAGGTTGGTTCAGCTGATAAGAACATAGATTTAGTTAGAGCAAGATTCTGCATTTATAAATCTTGTAATTTGGTCAATCTTCAACGACCACTTCAATATTTATGTTCATTCATTTTTCTATTTTATCCACTAAGAGGAGTTAAAAAGCATAATAAATGTCTAATCTCATTATGTAAATTTATATTTTGAATTGCATGTATAATCAAAATATATAAACTCAATCATACTAAGGCTTGGTATAACAAGATTTGACAGTAAAAACAAATAAAATCACATAAAAACCACTAAAATCAAATAAAACCAGATAAAACACAAATCTTGTTATAGCAAAGCCTTATAAAATTTACATTAAAGCTACAGTGGTAATATATATCAGTGTGAACCCCAAATTTATTTTGAATTTAAGTCATTAAAATTTTGTCATAATGAGATCCAACTACTAAAAACATGATTAAAAACAAATATATTTGAACCAACCTATCCTTCACATGATAAAATAGTTGTATGAGAAGCTTCTTTCCCTTTTTTTTCAAATACTTAGGAGGTCCATTCATTACAATTGAGAACCCCAAAATTTCATTATAATAAAATAAAAGACACACAGCCATTAGATACAGAAGATAATCTGAAAGTTTAAATGAAAACCTTCCAATAGTTTATAAGCTGTGGATGAGAGATGATGATGGACAAACAGACAGACAAATCTTCTTAATAACCTTTTTATGCTCAACATGAGTGCAGATGGGCATGGGATTTGGTCCTGCCCTGGGTCATATCAAAGAATTGAAAATTGGTATTTGATGCTCCCCTGCTAAGCATTCAGCAATTTGGAGTAGGAGCAAAGACTGGTCAGCTGGAAGTCAGAATAATGTGTTCAGGTAGGGTTAGATGTCTTGTGCAGACTTTTACATTATGAACTAGCACATTAAAAAAATCTTGCATTTTTAATTATCCATCCATCCTTCAAAATCAAAACTTCTTTTACAGGATCCTGGTTATACATGTGGAAGGGGGAGGTAACTAATTGTTTAGAAGCTGAGTACAAGCCTCAAAAATTAAACATTAAAATATAAATAATCATAAATGAGAAAAAATAGAGAAATCAATCACACAAAAATGAGAAAATATGACAAACTGCAAAAACTATGTAATTATTTTCACTTGAGTGGTCTCAGATGCTGAATAATGCATTTATAATATATAATCAAAACTAATAAATAAAACTGACAGCCATTAATTTGTATGAATGTAAAGAATGCAGAGTCAAAACAAACCATCTAACTAAACATTTTTATTTCTAGTTCATATTGCACCAAAAACTCAGTACTTAATTGTTTAATAGGGGATTTGTTTTATTCCCTTTTAGTGTTTGGCCATCGAAGTCCTACTTAATAGGTTTCTAACCAGAAAAAATCATTTCACAAAGGACTTATAATTCTTAACCAGTGTACATAACTTAAAAAATATATGTAAACTGAAGCAAGTCTTATGGGTTACTTGTGAAACCATACATCATACCTTTGGGACCTCTCAAATAACAATAATTTCACAGTTTTTTTTTTTATATTTCTTCAATCACAAAACAATAATTGAATGCAAGAAAAAATAATGAAATAAACATTTATAATTTGAATAATAAAGCATTAAAAATTAATTGCATTTATAATTCATTCTGCTTATAAGACAATATCTGCTGATTTTTTACAAAAGATAACAACAGTAAGTCAGTTCATCCAATGGTTTGCAGGATTGTAGTCTGAGGATTTTACCATACAAGGAAGGCAGCAACAGCAACTCTTTTGACTGAAAAAGAAACAAAGTTAAATTTCAATTGTTGATTCTTAATTTTAAAATAATTTAACGGGAATAAAGAAACAGACATCAGTGTATGTTAAACAATTTGTTTATTACTTATATTGATTACTCAAAAATATATAGTATCAAAAATATCCGATTTTATTGTTATCTCCCCTTCATATATCTTCTTCAGATTTAGTATCTACTTTAAAGGGTACATTATTTTAAATTGAAAAGATTGAATACTGATTTTTTTTAATTGTAAATTAAAAAAAAATATATATATTGAAATCTATTTAGTGACATTCATCACACAATAACATAAACACATTAAAGTTGTATGTTGATGAATAGGTTCTCACCTTATAACAGCTTTATCCCAGCAAGTAACCCAATGGAAACCTGATGCTAACCTGGAATATAAAAGTAGTCAGTTATACTAAACTTTCCTAAAAAAATTTATTACACATGTACTAAATTTAAAATTGCACTAGAATAACAAAAAATCATGGAAAAAATATTTGGTATTCTGAATTATAAACTCGTTTTATATTTACCAAAAAAATTCAACCGGTATCTCATCAGTGTAAAATTATTTTTTTGGTACTAAAGAACCTTATGAAATTGATTTCAAATATTATATTACTAAAAAGATGCTCGATTACCTACCAACATGTTAACAATATCAGACATCCAAGTCTTACTCCCAACACCACGAAAACATCATCATTATAACAACCTAAAAATAAAAAAAATAATTACTTGTTTTACAGATCAATCTGTCTCTAAGAAGACTAACAAAATAATGCTATGTTTCATTTATTAAAACCTGTTATACATTATCATCTTCACTATATAAACTTTTAAACTGCTAGAGATAGAAATTGACCTTGTGCAAGTGCACGTATATGTATAAGACAATGATTTTGGAATATTCAATTACAAAATCGGATGGGATTTTGTTCTCTTTTGATGGTTCTTATAACCATTTTCATAACAGCGTAGACAACCCCCATACTTATGTTGGTAATAATACTAACTCAATTACTGTAAATTCAGAAACTATTGCAATGTTTTTATTATTGCGAAAAATGCAATATGGTTGTATTGGCAATAATTTAAACTAGCATTTTGAAATTTTTTATATGAATTAAACAGGATTTTTCTCAATATCGCAAAAATTAAAATCGCATTTTAGTCTAAAATTACAAAATCGCAATTAATGAATGGTTATTATTTTGAATTTATTGAACCATAAAATTAATTTTTGACTCTTCATATTGAATAATCCGCGAAGCGGATTATGTAAAATGTGAAGTCAAAAATTAATTTTATGGTTCAATAAATTCAAAATAAATTATAGCCATTCATTATAAATAAATTTCTATCAAAAATAAGGCTCAAACAACTTTTTATATTATTTATATTAACCATAACAATGTACACGGATGTTGGTGTATGAATATAGGTCGTCAGAGTGGGCGTGTTGCCATAAAAATTGACAACATTGAAAATAAAAGTAATACCAATCAGAAGACAGAAAATACACCAAATTTATTAATAATTGCACGTAAATAATTTCTGAATTTACAGTACCTTTAACTTGTTTGCCATTGGCTATCTATAACAGTGATTTTACGCTCACTCAGTCTGTCAGAGGCCTTCCAATAGGGATTTAAATAGAATAAAAGAGCAAAGTACATGTAGGCACAAGAGAAGAAAAAAAGAAAATAATTATTCAACATTTAAATCAACACACAAGGTTTAGTCCTCTGCTAGTAATTTGTACTATTTGATGTAGGCATTTAGAACCTTTGGCGACCCCAGTTTAAATGTCTACAACACATTCAATGTGACAAGTGGGCGTTACAAAGTTTCACCTTATCTGACCCAGTCAATAGATAACATAAGAGCACCAAGAAATCGTCTTGTCCACGCTTTTATGAAAATGATTCTATATCAATTCAATATTCAAACAGTTAGAGTTTGCATAAAAATTTGTTCGACCCAAATAAGTTTACAAATTCATTGATAATAACTTGCAAACAGTTGGTTTCTATCCATAACAGCTCACTCGATACCAGACAGAAAACAAATGTAAGACTAGATACTCTAAAAATCTTAACACTGATAGAAAAGAACCCTTAAAAAATAATGTTAAATGCCTATATATATATTATTACCATAAAATTTGTGGAATATATAAACTTACCACATATTTTTCATGGTAAAGCCTCAGACTTGGTGAAGATTAAATTGACCATCTCCCTTAGAGCTGCTCTCCCGGCTGACAAGGTGGCTCTCATCATCTTAACATCTTTTTTTTTTAAATATAGTTTTATACATTAAATATATCAGATGCATTTCCAATAAATCCCCTTTCTTGAAAATTTCAGCAAATCAATTGTTAATGACCCAAGATTTCTCCCACCCTGCATACTTATTATCTAGAGCTCTGCTTACATTTATTTTTTTTTTTATTACAGAGCTCTAAATAATAGTCAATATTAGCTAGTTTACATCTGATATTAAAAAAAATGTACAAACATGAATATCCAAGTAGATGAAAATCCTAACATTGAGGGAATTTCAAGTATGTCGAGGTAAAGAGGGGTATAATAAATTACCTCCCTTTGACCCAAATTTCACCCTATTCGGACTCCACATCCTTGTTATATTAAACAAAAAAATTGTACAATTAAAATTAAAAAATAGATTGATAACAAAAATCTAACACATTTCAATAAAATATTTCGTACTGATCGACTTATGGTGGCAGAGTGGTCCTATAAGTAGTTCAACTACTGTATCACTAGCCTGTCAACACTGAGAACCCTCACATGAAATGTGTAACTTCATTCTTAAATTGACTAGGGTTTACCCGTTTCCCTGATGAAGGTGATGTTTTCACTAGGCACTCTGGCTGTCTCCACAAATAAAAATTTACTGCCAAAATTATAGTAAATCATGTTAAAGTGGTGTTTAACACCAAAAATCAACCAATCCAATTTCAACAAGATGGTCTTCAACTATACCTTTTATAAAATTAATTCTTTAAAAAATATCACCTTGGTTACAAACCAAAATCAGCTAAAAATGACAAAAAAAGTGCAAAAAATTCTAACTTCTTACACTTCGTAAATTCCTCTGCATTAGAGCACCCTTGTCACATATCTTAAAGATATTAAAATTAACATGAAAGAAAAGGTTGTAAGGGGATATATTTACTGCAGACCATTATTCATCTTTTTAGTTTACACTAGAGAGGCATTTGCTATGGTAAGGTATTTTGAAACATTGCTAAAAAGAACAAAAATGATTAAAATTTTTGCTAAAAAATTTAGTGGGAATATTCACATCGGCAGATTTAATTGCATTAACTACATTTATAAAGTAACTTGTAAAATTTGAAAGTATCTCAAATCCTAAAATAACAAAAAGATGGCAAAAATATATACATTACAATTTGCAAAAATAAAATACATTTCAATAATTGAACATTTTTTTTTCTTTTTTCTTTCTTTTTCTTTTAGATTATCCATTCTTAAACTGCTGGAAGTGTTTTGACTAGACATGAGTATAAACGGAAAATAGAAAGAATTTTTGTAATGTCAAATACAAGTTAACCTACAACTTCCAATCTTGTTGAAAATGGAGAATCTTAACATATTTTTTTTTTTTTTTGTAAAAAAAGTTATAAACATTTTCTCAAGCATACACAAAAATAGTCTGAATTACATTCTTTACTGTTGCAGTTATATCACACAACCATTTTATGCAGCCACAGTTATCTGAAAAAGAAATATACATAACTCATGAACATTGAAATAATATTTAATGCAAAACAATTATAATTAACTGAGCATTACAATTATATAATTAAATGTATAGAACATTTCTTTTTCTTTATTATAAAGTGATTTGTTGACATAAATTTTAAATTACCAGTATTTCTTAGCAATAAAAGGATGAAAAACAAGTCATTAGCTGATGTCTTTGACAAATATCTTTTTAACATTGTTTTATAGCTATATATAGTATATCAGGCTATTTGATACATACTTGATTGAATTTTTTAACATTTAGTCATGTTGAACCGTTATAGCTAACTATACAATATAGGTTTTGCTCATTGTTGAAGGCATAGGGTGACATTTAGTTGCATCCATATCATTTGGTCTCTGGTTGATAGCTGTCTCATTGGCATACATACCACACTTACATATTTTCATATATGGGGACAACTATAGATAACAAAACTAAAGGCTCTAAAGAGCCTGTGTCGCTCACCTTGGTCTATGTGCATATTAAACAAAGGACACAGATGGATTCATGACAAAATTGTGTTTTGGTGATGGTGATGTGTTTGTAGATCTTACTTTACTGAACATTCTTGCTCCTTACTATTATCTCTATCTATAATGAACTTGGCCCGGTAGTTACAGTGGAAAATATTTTGTAAAAATTTACAAATATTTACAAAATTTATGAAAATTGTAAAAAATTGACTATAAAGGGCAATAACTCCTTAAGGGGTCAATTGACAATTTTGGTCATGGTGACTTATTTGTAGATCTAACTTTGCTGTACATTATTGCTGTTTACAGTTTATCTCTATCTATAATAATATTCAAGATAATAACCAAAAGCTGCAAAATTTTCTTAAAATTACAAATTCAGGGGCAGCAACCCAACAACGTGTTGCCTGATTGGTCTGAAAATTTCAGGGCAGATAGATCTTGACCTAATGAACAATTTTATCCTCATCAGATTTGCTCTAAATGCTTTGGTTTCAGAGATATGAGCCAAAAACTGCATTTTACCCTATGTACTATTTTTATACGCTAGTCAAATTTTTTACGGGACGTATTATGTTATACAAATGTCCGGCGTCCGTCCGTCTGTCTGTCCGTCTTTCTGTCCGGCGTAAACATGTCGCACCGTAACTTGAGAATGACTTATCCAAATTTCATGAAACTTAACATAGTTGTTTCTTATGATGGTCAAACGATCTGTATACTTTTTGGTGAAAATAAGATTAAAACTTTTTGAGTTACGGGACTTAGTAACTAAAACAGGTGTGTGTTTTTTTTCACATGTCGCGCCGTATCTCTAAAACGATTTATGATTATTGCTTAAAATTTTACACACTTCTTAGTTATATTAATCTAAAGATCTGTATACTTTTTGGTTTTGATTCAAAATTTTATTTTAGAGATATTGAGTTTTTTGTAAAACTAGAGGCTCTCAAGAGCCTGTCTCGCTCACCTGTATTTACTGATGCTTTGGAAATCATGTAAAATAAGGTTAAAATCATAATTAATAGTATTAGATATTATAAAGATATCTAAGATAACAAAAAACTGCAAAATTTTTGTAAAATTACTAACTCAGGGGCAGCAACCCAACAACGGGTTGTCGGATTCATCTGAAAATTCCAGGGCAGATAAATCAAAATCTGATGAACATTTTTGCCACCTGTCAGATTTCCTCTAAAGGCTTTAGTTTCAGAGATATAAACCAAAAACTGCATTTTACCCCTATGTTCTATTTTTAACCAAGTCGGCCATGATGGTTGGAAGGCGGGGTCATCGGACAAATTTTTCAACTAGATACCCTAATAATGATTATGGTCAAGTATGGTTAAATTTGTCTCTGTAGTTTCAGAGAAGAAGATTTTTGTAAAAGATTACAAAAAATTTACGAAAAATTGTTAAAAATTTGACTATTAAGGGCAATAACTCCTAAAGGGGTCGACTGACATTTTGGTCATGCAACTTATTTGTAGATCTTACTTTGCTGAACATTATTGCTGTTTACAGTTTATCTCTATCTATAATAATATTCAAGATAACCAAAAACTGCAAAATTTCCTTAAAATTACCAATTCAGGGGCAGCAACCCAACAACAGGTTGTCAGATTTGTCTGAAAATTTCGGGCCAGGTGAGCTAAAAACTGAAATCCCAAGATTTCTCATTATACATTATACTTTTTGACTTCCCTTATATATCTTTATATCTCCTTCTAAATTGTTTATTCAACTATAAGTAAAGAAGACATTAATATGTAAGATTTACATCTGTGCCTAACAAAAATCTTGGGCTTTAAAATGATCTTGGATGAAAAGTTCATAAATCTATGTATTGATTCTTACCATAAAAGTCAGCTCCAATGCCCACTCCCAGCTTCAATCCATACAGACAAGCTGTGATGCTAACCTGAAATATAAAATGATAATTCATTAATAAAACCCTGTAACTCGGAAACGTAAAATCAAAAATTTATAAAAATCGAAAGGGAGCTCCTGTCATTAGATATAAACAATTCACCACAATTTCTTGCAAGTTGGTGAAAGCATTCTTGAGTTATTGTTCGAAAACTGGAAAACCCCCCCCCCTTTTTTAATGAATAAAACCCCATCCCCCTTTTTTAATGAATAAAACCCCATAACTGGGAAACGTAAAATCTAAAATTTATAAAAAACGAAAGGGAGCTCACGTCAATAGATATAAACAATTCACCAAAGTTTTATGCAAATTGGTTAAAGAGTATTTGAGTTAATGTCCGACATGTTGACGAAGGACGGACAGACGGACAACGGTATACCATAATACGTCCCGTAAACGGGTGTATAAATACTGTTTAAAAGGTTCTTTGTTGGTATTATGTATGTATATTGAATAGATTGAATGATTGGTTGTTGGCAAATCATTGAATAGAAATGGTCTTAAAATGTGTTATATATGTCAAGAACATATGGATGAGAGAGCATTCCAACAAGCTAACACATTTTATGTAAACAATTCAGATCCTAAACTTTACTCTTATTTGGTTACTGATATAATAATAAAGAGTAGATTCCTGTAAAAAATCTTTTAAGCGTTCAAATCTTGTTTTTCCAAAAAATATTTATAATACATTTGAGTTTTCCAAAACAGGACTCACATACTGGTACATACCTTTGTATTAGCTGTATAAGACCTAATACCAAGTCTTATTCCCACACCATGAAAACATGTCTCAGAAAGAACCTGAAATGAAATTATAATCAACACATTATACATTTTGTAAATCAATTTATGTGTTACCGATAACCTAAAATTTACTAAATATTGTTCTGATTTCTTATTGCAGGTAGACAATTGTATAAAATCATTTTTTTTTAAATCAATCATTTTTACATCGCGATGACCTTGAGGTCATCCCGATGTATTGCTATCGCCTAGATTTCCATTATGTAAATTAGTTTTGGGTTTGTAACCGATCTATAAACATGATAAATACGCGCACATAAACGAGTGCAAAATAACATTCCTTATCGTTTGATATAAATACATCTCTTCAATGAATACTGATAAACATATTTTTGTTTACAACATAAATTAATAATATGAAAATGTTTTGTAGTTAGATATATATATATAAGTAAAAAATCATTGATAATATCAATGCACACGTACCGAAAAATTGTGTTAAAGCATGCGGAAGAATATCTCAAAAGAACGTTTTGTGAAAATACCGTCAAGGACCGGTAACTCTGTAATTGATTTTGCGGGAAAATATGAATGCCTAATCGTATCCAATCTTAGAAAAATCGAATTTTTACAGAAAAGTGTCCAC